GAAAGAAAGAAGTACTTAAATGGAGTTTTGAAAGATGTAAACAGAACGGGGTTTGCTTGCTTGAGGACAATGCTACTGACTTTGATTCTCTAGCGATAATTCTGCGGCGTAGAGTTATTCTTGCTATTTGGTTTGTTTATGCCGACTTCGAGTCAGAGCCAGCTTGCGCAATAGTTGAACTCTGAAGCTACTTAAGCTAAACTTTATTAATTTTAAGGTTATTCATAATCTTTTAATTTAAGACAAAAGTGCTGGCTTCTGTAAGCATGAGCTGCTGTTGATTGTTAAACTTTATTTGAGCTAATAAAGGCTTCTCTACACCCTTCTCCAGAAAAGACTTCCTGATAATTCACGGAACAGTCTTTCACCGTCGCGTACATTTAATGATTACACGTTACACACTCTAATATAATACATATATCAAGGAATATAATGAAACATAAATTCTTCTTTGTAGTACATGTGCATTATACATGTGTATACCAGACACACCAAATCCATCAGTTTATTAAAATTACTTTTGTAAAAGACGAAATAACGGAAAAGCCTTACGTTAAGTATTTGTAGAAACTTATATTTTAAAAAACTTTGAAAGGCACAGGTATTCTGCAATCCACACAAAAAGAGATCCCATACGAAAAAATTCTTTAAATAAGAACTACCAGACAAAATTTTCTGAACTTATTAGTGATAAAACGGAAAGGGACTTTTCAAGGGATTCCAGATTTCCCAAGACGGCATGCTGTTGCTTCCTTCAGGCTAGAAACAGGCCATGACTACCTTGCTGGTTATCTACACAGATTCGGAACACTTTCCCCTCCAAACTGTATCTTATGCAGTAGTGACCATGCTATGGATGCCCAGCTGGTCTCAGGAATTATTTACGATAGTTATTGTAAGGACGGACTAATTGACGTTTGTTGTCGGTATGTTTTCTTTACAGTTACTGTTTAATGTTCCTGCTTCCTTTTTATATGTTTTTGGTTAGTTGTTTCTGCTTATGTGTTTACTCTGTGTGCTTTCCTTCTAGCGAATGACATATATCAAGTGCTACAGCAAATAAAACGATATTTTTAAAAATATTTCTTAAACGTTTATGGTATTTGCAGAAATCGTAACCTAAGAAATTATCATTTTAATCAAAGAATTGGATGATAATATTTCATACATTAAGTAATAATCACTTGAAAGCATTCACAATCCTGCAATTCAATGATTCATATTAATGAAATTAATTTCAAAAAATTTAATTTATTGTGAACATCGAGCAATAGCTCTAAAATGAATTACTGTGCACATATTGAGAAACTAGGCCTACAATATTCATTTGAAACTTAAATTTTTGTGTTTGGCTTAAATATATATTATGTACTAACGCCTGCACATACGTACACACATAAATGCACAGACACGCACACATACATGTACATATGGTGAATATGAGCACAGTTTAAGAAATCATATAAAATCAACGAACTGCTATGCCAGAATACGGTTTGTACCTTAAAGTATCACAGAATTATTTTGGTATAATGTATATTTTAGTTAAAATTTTTACGAACAGATAGTATTATTAACAGCCCTTAATTCAATTAGAATGAAAAAGTAAGATTGTATGACATTTATTGATCTGCATTTGCAAGATATAACAATATTACAACAATCCATTCTGATCTGAGAATTTTATAATAAATACTTTAATCAACTACTGCACTAATTTATATTTATAGGTGATTTATAATATGGTGCTTTAATGGTGATTTCTAATGAAGCAAACATCCTTAGTTACTATAAGAACTGCTCAAAACCTTGCCAGTCACGATTTTACAGCATATATGGCCAAAAACCTAATTAAAATAATAGTCATATGTATAAAATAACGTATTTCTTTTGCTACATTTTAATACCAGAAATAATAAACAGAGCGATCCAAGTCGCATCTTGCTATCCCTTTGCGGCACCCTTTCGCATATGACTTTCCAAAAAAAAAAATACTCTAAGGGCTATTAATCTATAGAGTACTCTTTCGCCTCAAAAACATGAAGTCAAATCTGAACAACTTTCCTAAGAAGAGAACCCCCCTGAGAAAGTTGGTTTTTAAGTGTTGGAGTGTCGAAAATTGCAGGGAAAATGCACTCATAGCTTTGTCCAAAAACTGAAAATACTCCATTACGTTCGGTTTTAAAGTTTTTGTGAATAGAAACTTATTTAATGATACGCATGACAGCTTTGCCATCGACTGTGGTAGGAAGTATCATATGTTGTGCTTCTTCAGTATTAGAAGCTGAATTTTCTTAATGAACTTTTTTCTGGTACAGAAACTTGATCAAGCCTATTTTCGCATCTAATAACATCATCTTCACATATTTTGACAAGTTCTGCGGTATATACTGAAAATATGTATTGCAATTTTTCTTGCACTTAGTGAGAGAAAAATCTTTGGTTTTCCATACATCCTCAGCACTTTTTACCGATAGTGCCGAAAAGATGGATTATTTGAATTGTTGCAAAGCACACAAGGATTAAGCGAAGGAATGACTTCGTGGAAGTCGATTTTAAGGAACTTGGTTCGTAATATTACACATGAGAAAAATCACGAAAATTCTCATAAAACCAACCTTCGCCGGAGTTTAAATTGCTAGTTTACAGTGATTTTACCGCTCACGATTTGGTAGATCTGGAGCAAAAACAAAAATACAGAAAAAATAAATAAATAAATAAATAAATAAATAAATAAATAAAGATCCATGTTGGATGGTCGATTCTGTAACAATTTGTTAAGAAATTTCTAGGGAGCTGCTGCGGTAGTTTCTAGGGTGGTAGTTGTTCAGAAATATTATCAATGGACTTTGAACGATCCTGTCTCACTTTTCAATGTTGTGCTCATTTCTGCTAGTTAGTGGACGAAACGCAGCAGTTTTCATCTGACATGTTGCCATTATTGAAACCACAAAACTACTCGTACTCTTTTCGTTTACTCAACACATTGTCGTTTACTCAACACATTTTGAAAGTTTGTTAAAGCATAACAACGGTATCATATGCAGGTTTCATCAATCAAATACAAAATTTCAAGCATACTCTTCGTTATCTGTAGTCAAAAACATGAAGAACGCTGTGAGCAGAAATATGCAAAACATCAGCACCAGTGGCTAAATGCTATATTCATACTTATGATACATGATATGCTAGGGTAACTGATTAAGGTAAAGAGTACAAAGGCAATCTACCTAACGGAAGGAATTCCTTAGAGGAATTTTTACAAGAAACTGGTTTGTATTTATGTTACACATTGAGAATGTTGAAACAACTCGCGTAAAACCACTCTTTTCGCCAGGAATCAAAACATGGTGAAACAAATAGTGTTCAGCAATCCTAATGTACGGCCTCTGCTAGGCCGTTCTTCTTGCCACGGTAACTTTAACTGCAAGGTAGCAAGGCCTGGTGTCACGATTGACTATCTCTATGTATGTGCTTTTCATAAAGAGTTTGCTAATCACTTTAGATATTTATCTCCATTTTATTCCTTGTACGAAGTAAAGGAAGTATTGTAATCGCGAAAAATTCCGGGTATCATATTTCAAATATAATATCCATTTTGACCTCTCTCGAATTAATTTGAACGATATTTTTACATGCAATCCGAACTTACGGACACAATAAAGGCCCCCTTTTTCCAAAACGAATTCTAAAATAGATTAAAAATGGATTCGAAAAATATTTTTCGTCACATCGATACGTATGTATATATGTATCTCGCATAAATCAAAAACGAGTTACCATAGAACTATAAAAATTTTGTGTATATGATTGCTATAACATGTAGTTCTGCAACCTCTCTTTTTCGTTGCTATCGGAAGCACCAAATGTTTACACATTGCTACTGTGTTACCCGGTTCGGTGAGCTCAGTTTATATTTTCTATTCTCATATTTTGGTAAATTGTCCATTTTATGCTTTAAATGTGATTGAATTATGTTCCGACCTTTAATTAATCTCTGTGCAATAGTTTTCGAATTATCAACAGTTAAAAGTTTGAGTGTCACTAGTTCTAATAAGGCAGCTATTTGTTTATATCTGAAGCTCTTAGTAGTAGCATAGTGAATTCAGTTGATGTACCGGCTTCACTGTCTTTTCGCCCAATGGGACCAGCAGTTAACTATTTTTTTTTTTTTTTTGGCAGTGAAAATTTTGCCCTCCTGCACTTTGGCCAAATTGCTTCTTTTAGCATGCTAATTTTAATTGCATTTTATTTTATTGTTTTTAACTGTATATCGTGTTTTAGGTTTTTCTACACTTTACCCTTTTTAATGATCATGTTTTGATATATGATATATTTTTGTCATGCCACAAAGTGGGAACTGAGTTACTTGAATGAGAAATATATCTCTACTGAAATTTGAGGAATAGGTTTCAATGAAGTGCAGAAAAAAATGTGTGTAATTTAATAGGTAGTATAAGGATGTCGTAATGTGTCCATATCAGATTCTTTAATGGATTAGGAAATTGCAAGTAGAATTCAGCGTTGTGAAAATTTGCCCTAATACTAATCATATTTGATAAAAATAAGAAAATATTTAAAATATTAAGTATCGAACTGATGTGAGTTCAGGTTTGTTATAGTTCTGAAGGTTTTCCTTTCAATATAAAAAAATTTATGTCGAAACAACTGATTAAATGGAATTAGAAGGAAAGATGATTATTCATATAGCTCACTAAGGTGAAGAGATTTTTATATTTGTATATATTGCTGGCAGTTTCTAAGAGTAAAATAACTGAAATAATTGTATTTTAATATGGGCTAAATTGCATTGAAATGTATAAGAATTAATTATCATCTATGAATAGTGAAATATTTTATGATATTTAGAAAGCAATCTATGTTATTAATTCTGAATTCAGTAATTTTTGAAATATTTTTAGTGTAAATTAAAAATAAAACTGAGCAATGACCATGAATTTCAATAAATACAATACTTATTTTCTCGATTTAAATTTCAGGTGGCTTGGATCCACACCAACAGATTTACATTATTGACTCTACAAAACCGAGTCATCACAAGAAGTTCCCGGTACAAGGTAAGCCACAACAGTTACAGAACGTGGTGGTTGCATATCTCCAATGTACAAGAGCGAGATCGCGGAGAATATATGTGCCAAGTAAATACGGTACCAATGATGACACAAGTTGGATACATAGAAGTCGTCGGTAAGTTTCACGCAATTGTATAGAAACGAATACCATTTAAGTGAGTAAGTGAAACTCCAACTAATTTCGGTTTTCCAAATCATCTGTGTAATCCGTATTTTAACCCTTTCAAGGCGAAAAGACCTGAGGCAACCTTTCTTTCAAACAACCACTACCGCCCGAAATTATGATGTTGTTTTCTTTCCTCCCCCTAAGTTATGCATTAGTTCTGTGTAACATAAAATTTAGAATAGTTCATACATTAAATTTTGATAGCTGTAATTAGATTAATTACGTTAATTTGCTAAGACACAAAAACACAAGAAATACAATTTTCCTAACCGACTAACCTTACTCAAATTTTAATAATTCATTGCTTTGTGTAAATTTGACTGAATAACTCACAATTCAAATTTGAATGTATGTATGTAAAATTATGTACTGGTGAGTGACATGAACAAATCAAATAAAACATACTATTAATTAATCCAAAGAAAATATATAAGTTTATTGAGCCTAATAATATAGCATCAAATATTAATGGTAGATATCAAAACCAGACAGAACTATTTTTAACAGGAAAAACATTTACCTTCTCCGGAGAGGGAAAAAAATATTTAACATTTAACAGTTAACCTTAACATATACTGTAACTTGACCAATATTATAACCAATTATATTTTCCTACAACATTTTTTACACAGGCTATTTGAGAACACATTCATACTTTGTAAACATAATATTTAATTCAATTGATCATTTGCAGATTAACAAACAAGCTAGGTAAAATACCGGGTGCAATTTCTAGAATTTCAACCTTTACATGCACAAAATTAACTTTCCTTATTATGGTTTCTAGGGACCATTAAATTACAATAACCAGAAAGATGCAGAAATTTTAATCAATATTACACATAATTGAAAATTTGCACTTACTCTATTAATATTCCGTAACCGGGAACGATGGAAAAGTTATATTACACAAATAAAATCATGAACAGTAATTATAATAAAACACTACTTTAACAAGATTTCTAAGACGAGGCAGTGATGGAAATTAAGTTACCTTCATTTTTGCCAACTGAGTTAAGGAATGGCTTTCTCAATATCTGATACACTAAAAATTAATTAACTTTAAGAAAAATTAATTACCCTTAACAAATTTAATTAACCTTTACAAAATTAATTACCCTTAACAAATTTAATTAACCTTTACAAAATTAATTACCCTTAACCAAATTTCATTAACTTAATTATCTATTAAAAAAAATGTCTTTTATTTCTAACAAGTTATTTCTGGTAAGCTTAGCATGGTTAACTATTATTCCCTCAATTACCTAACAAAATGTATTAGTTAACTTAACAGGGTTGAACTAAACTAAGACAAAAGATAATTTTAACTTATTTTTATACTTAAGGAACGACTATGCAGTCACATGGCATTAATATCAACTGGTTACCAGGGATTCTCCTTTATGTAGAACCAACGGCTCAGGCAGGTGACGAACTGGAACTTGGCATCAGAGACGGACCCAGATATAAGAGGATGTAGAAATGCCCGCTGACTAAGGCTCTCAAAGACGCTAACACCAAGACATCACCCAGAAGACAACGAACGGAGCCAAAAGTTCTCTGGAACACTGGATCTTTCGGGAAGGCAGGCCAAGCAACCAGCAAGAGAAAAAATAATTTTTTTCTTTCCTTACTCATTGGGAAGCTGGCAAAGTCGATGAGGTGGCTGAATTTTTGAAGAACTTCGCTGGATACGAAAACTGAATCCGATGATACATTTTTAACAAATCAAACAGATGCTGGCTATGAAGGAAAATGTTGAATTTTCTGTTAGAAAGTCATTTTGAAGAAATTATTGCAGTTAGGCAACGTAGCAAGATCTCGGGTCGAGGCTCCGAGAATCTGCATCTTCGTCATGCATTATTGTGAACCTCAGGGAACAGAGGACAGCTAAAAGCACTTCCAAAAGTGCAAGTCACACGAAAAGCCAGGGGCAAGAAGGGCCAACTGCCGCGAAAACAACCCCTTTTAGATATGACGGGACATCCACCTTGGCTAAACTCCCGCCCGAAAAGGTGAAAAAACAGTTGCCGAAAACTCCCGCCGTAAGGAATGCAAAATTTCTACTTTTTCCGCAACGAACCAGAACTTAATATCACGCCAAGTTCGCGCCAAACCAAGGCCAGCTGTGCAGGTGCAGAGACTCCGAATGACAACTATTAAACTCCCCCGGCCGGAAATGGCTTCCCACGTTGGACAAGAACCCGAAATTCTGTTAAGAAGTGAATTTTTGGAACGCTTCTTTCCCCCTTTTTGCTAGGGAAATACTTAGGAAGTTTTTGTTAATTAAAAGGCTATAACTTAAATTCTGTTGAAAGTAGAGATATGAAAGTAGTCTCAAATTAAAGTGCTAAATTTTCTGCTTCTATTGATATTAAATTCTAAGGGTTTAACTTAATTTAAGACATGAAAATTATAGTTTATTACGTGAAAATTTACCAAGATCCATTGTGTGAGTAATCAATCTCGAATGCAAGCAAGAATGAATAACGCTAGCTAAAAATATTTGCGTGCGAGTTCAGATAAAAAATTGACCAAACAATACCAATAATTAATTGAAAAAATACATGTTGTGTAGCATAAAATTAATAATAATTAATACATTAAATTTTGATAGCTCTAATTAGATTAATTACTTTAATTTGCTACACAACAGTAGCAGGAGTAATTGCCCCAAATGCACCGTATAGTTGCAGACAGCTTGTCCTGAAAGGCTAAAGGATGCTTCTTTCTTAGGAAGTAGAAAGGATGTCATTTGAAATCTTCATACCTCTGTGCTTTAATGGCTTCTCCGGCCATTAAAGCACAGAGGTAGAGGGGGGAACGGGTGGAACGAGTAATAGACGGGGACGGGCCTATCGGTATTTTAAGCATACACAGGTTAGTAAAGGTTCGGTTGTCTAAGAGTTAATACGAAGCCGTTTTGTTTCTGCTTTTATGTTGTTTTATTGCAATGAAGAAAATACATTAAAAAAATTAAGTATTTTTATTCTAGCCAAAAAAGTGCTCTTTCTCTTCCCAAACAGTGTGTTTACAATAGTATCACACGTAGCAACTATCTATCTAAGACCCCCTATACCTGAGTACATGACGAAATCTTGGAACTGAGCAACACTTTCCTGTGGTATTACTTCCATAGAAGACCCAAATAATTCTGAACCACAAACTGGCTTAGAGAGAGTTCAGTGTACTTTTATTTTTTTATTCTTTGAGGCCTTTTAAAACAGAAACATAATACCCATTACAAAAACTCTATGTTTAAGAAGTTTAGAACATCATAAGAAAGAACACAATGTATACAAAAAGCTAATTGGAAGCAACTGATTAAAATTTCACTGCATATTATGAGACAAAATTTCTATTGTGAAGAGAAAATTTGCATAACATCATCTCATTCTTGGCTTACTAAAAAAAAAAGAACGTTTTAATGACTAAGGGATGGAAAGGTGGATTTCATATAGTGCACAGAGCCTTCTCCGTTAATGATATGAACGTCATATACATGTATATCTGTGGTGCATATCTAACAACTTATGACACGCATTCATCTAAGTTTATTAAACAGTTTCTTAAAAATATATGCTTTAATTTACGAATTTTATATTATTTAAATCAACTGAAACATCAAAAGCATATAATAAAATTAACAAAACATTTGATTTGAATTCATGTTGAAAAAAGAACAAATGTTTCATTTCCTCTGAAGATGACTGAGAGTATTATTACAATTCCCACAAAAATTGCATTGGTATTTATCAGATTCATCAGGCTCTTAGGATAGAAAGTTGTTTTTCCTAAGAGCAACTACATTTGCGGAGGGAAAAAATCAAGCCTTCAGATTTTATATTACGCCCAAAGGGACTATTATTTTTCATTTACACACACGTACACGTTTCGATAGCATTTACGATAATATCCGTTTGGGCTAACAATATTTAAAACAGCATATCTTTAGAATTTCCGATAAATAGCCTGGCGCCTGGTATAAAAAAAAATTTCACGTACATTGCTACTTTGTTCTCTTTCATATTGTTAATCAAATTCGTTACAGTTTTTAAAAAATATTAAATAGACAATAAAACAATTTCCATAATCGAGATTTCAGGTACCCATATTATGGTGGAGGACTACGTTATTCAAAATTTGATGTCTCTAGGTACCACTGGTTTTTCACAATGCGAGAAACATACATACATTCATGCATATTCTTCATTATTTAATTTCTTTAAATATAAAACAACGAAATAATATTTGTTGGAACAAATTGGAAAAGTGAAATGGTAGCGAACCGATGCAAGACGTCGAGATAAGACTGGTTTAAAATAAAATGGTTTCTTAGAAGTGTGTGAACATAAAATTTAGTATTTGTTTCAGTCTAGTCTCTAAAATGAGTGAACCAAAGCCAGTGTCAAAAATGAGCCAAAGTCAAAAATGAGCAGTAATAGTGAAAGTGATGATTTATTGCTTGCAGAAAACAGAAAAGAACCGAAATTGTGTTATTATGGATAATGACCTGGAATATGAGGGTGATACGAATATTAAAATAGAACTCTTAGATGATACACTTGTTGATATTTTTTAGGAAAGAGATTAGGAAGATTATAATGAAAGTGAAATCGAAGTTCTTGAAACTGAAGTTAGTGAAGGTATAGAGAGATGGGCAGATGACGGTGATTTAAAAACAATTCCTTTTGTCGGCAAGGGGGTCTCTAACAGTTACTTAAAAGAGGTCATCCGTATGATCTTTTTTGAACTCCGATTTTTTTAAAAAAAATTTTATGTGGATTATGTTCTTTTCTTCATCACTGAATCTAAAATAACGATTTAATGCTATCTGACTATTTTCAGAAAAAATTTTATTCCAATTTAATGATGTTACTTTATTTTGTTTTGCATTGCATTGATGGCGTTCAATCATTTTATTTCTACGACGTATGTTACAAAGTGAT